ATGCATCAGTCTCTTTTTTCTAATTTTTAAACTTAAATTTACACTAAATACTTAAAATTTTAGTGAATATCAGATTAGAAATAGACAAAAGTAGTAGTAGACAATAGATGGGAATAAAGTAGTAGCCCTTCCTCAACGGTTTTCAGATGAAAACTGTAATCAATCAGGTAAACATAAAGGTGCTGGGTCGCCTGCACATTACACATACAGGAGCTGCTCAGGCACAGAAGAGGAAGGAGTTTTGGAGCTCTGCAGTTATTGAGTCAGTTGAAGACTTTTACCCACTATGCACCTCAGCACTCAGTCACCTGCTCTGTAGTGGTCAAACACTTAATGGCTCAGTTACTGTGGTTTCCTGAACACCTCCACTTCTGCTTATGATATGTTTTGTGTGCAGCATTTTTATATTTGGTGGTGTGCTCTTAAGTTAGAGTGCATTTGACCCCCTAGCGAGACTTGTTAAAAAAAGCTTTAAAACCAGCTCATCTTGTATGTTACGTTTAAATTGATTTGCAGCTTCACTGTTGATTTTTTAAAACTGTATTTTGTTTTTCTTTAAAGTTCTACTTTTATTTTAAATACTTTGGAATTATATTTCTGCTGTTTCTGTGCCATATGCAACATTTCTGTATATATTTTGCCAAAAGCGTTTGCGTGTCTACCTTCAGACGCATATGAACTTGAGTGGCATCCGTTTTGTAATCCACTGGGTTTAATATAGTGTCACTCAAATCTTTGTAGCTATATCACCTTCAAGTCTTCTGGGAAGGCTTTCCACAAGGTTTGGGAGTGTTTATTGGAATTTTTGATCATTCTTCCAGAAGCACATTTGTGAGGTCAGACATTGATGTTGGACAAGAAGGCCTGGCTCACAGTCTCTGCTCTAATTCATCCCAAAGGTGTTCTGCTTGGTTGAGGTAAGGACTCTGTGCAGACCAGTCAAGTTCATCCACACCAAACTCGCTCATCCATGTCTTTATGGACCTTGCTTTGTGCAGTGGTGTGCAGTCATATTGGAACGTGAGGGAACATCCCCAAACTATTCACACAAAGTTGGGAGCGTGAAATTGTCCAAAATTTCAACGGCCAAACCCAGACTCGTCTATTAGATTGCCATCCGGCAAAGCGTGATTAGTTACTCCAGAGAGCACATTTCCACTGCTCTAGAGTCCAGTGATGGCGTGCTTTACACCACTTTGCATTGCGCTTGGCGATGTAAGGCTTTGATGCAGCTGCTCGGCCATGGAAACTCATTCCATGAAGCTCTCTATGGTTGTTCCTGAGCTAATCTGAAGGCCACATGAAGTTTGGAGGTCTGTAAGACTGACTCTGCAGAAAGTTGGAAACCTCTGTGCACCATGTGTCCACTGACCATGCTCTGTGATTTTACATGGCCTACCAGTTCGTGCCCGAGTTGCTGTTTTTCCCAATCATTTTCACTTTGTTATAATACCACTAACAGTTGACTTTGGAATATTTACAAGTGAGGCTATATCCCGATTGTACTTGTTGTATAGGTGGCATCCTGTCACGGTACCATGCTGGAATTCAGCATGCCTTTGAGCGACCCATTCTTTCACAAATTTCTGTAAAAGCAGTCTGCATGCCTAGTAGCTTGATTTTTATACACCTGTGTCCATGGAAGTGGTTAGAACACCTGTATTCAGTGAATTGGATGAGTGAGTGAATATTTTCCCCAGTGTATTTGTGTAGTTCTATTAATGTAGTTCGTGTGCACTGCTCCTTTAATATAAACGTTCCGCCTCTTTTTTTAACTTCCTTCTTTTCCGCATCAGACTCAGTTAATCAACCCCACGATATGACGATCCCACGTTCAGTCGTCTCAGTCACCATATAGCAATTCGACTGCTCTCGCCTGACTGTAGGTTTCGGTTGCTGCTGTGTTGTGTAGGTAGCTAACAAAAACACCAAATCATGCCCGGCGAGACAGCCGTTAGAATTATGTCTTTATCGTTAATGTAGGCAGTTAACATCTTTTTAAACTCGTGTCCGGACCTACTGCGTCTCCAGCCGTGTGGCGGGACCTTTAGCTGAGCTCTGCGGGGTGCTGATCCGAGGCCTGGTCGCAAACACAACCGCTCGCAAAGTCTCCTATAACCGTCCGGGATTTCATGTTGAAGTCATCCGGTCTCTGGTTGGAATTCAGAGTTTCCCCGTCGGAAGATGGACACTGATAAATTCAACTATGTTTACAGCTGTGATATGGACATCAATGTTCAACTTAAGATGTGAGTTTTTCACTGAGTCTCTTTGGGTCAAAGCGGCGTAAACTCCTGTATCTTGTGACCTCACGCGATGCTTTCCTTTGTGTGTGTGCGCGCGCGTTGTGTCTCGTTAACACGTTTTTCTGACTTTGAAGTTTGTCCAACACATTGTTTGTCGCTCACACATAAACCTGTGAGACTGCCATCACAAGCCCCAGAGTTATGTGAACGCGTTCATCACAACAAACTGAAACGATTTGCTGTTCTTCTCTTACTTTATGTGCAAATGTAAGATTATCATGCATTTGCAGTAATTTTAGGTTATATGAAAGCGTAATTACATTACATTTGTACCTACAGAAAAGGAAGAGACAAGCCTTCTTCTTTTCTTTAAGACTCACTCCACATGTATTAGAAACACTGGTTCTGCTTTACGTCGTTCTGATGAATTACAGTGTTGTATTGTGTTTATTGTCCTTTTTGGGGTGGGAGGAGACACAG